TATAGATTGTTTTTCGTGAAAGAATCTTTTTCATCACGAATAAGTGGAATGGGCAACAAAGAGTGCTGATTTTAGGAGTAACATTGTGGATTTTTGCTCATTTTTCATCTAGTAACTGATCTCGATTTTATTATCGGTCATGCACCCTCCCGTTCTCTTTCAAGTGAAAACCACCTGAAGATGACTGTATTGCGCATTAGCTAGACGCATCTGAACTAATTGACTAATTAAAATCAAGCAGAAGTTCGTTGAAGAATTGAATTGAAATGGTGGAAGATTTGAAAAGAATTGAATGGAAGTTGGGTTTATTGAAATTCTTTTGTAGATTTGCAACTGAGTTGGCGAGGGGTAAGGTAGGTTGAGAGTAAGCGAAATTAGATTACATAAGTTGAGTTTAGATTATCTTTGCAAAATTGTTTTCGAAAATGAATTAATCTGAAAACCGATCAAATTCAGTTTCTGAGGAATGCCAAAACTTGGCCAATATGTGCTCATCAATCACCCTTAACATTCAAAATCATCTGGCGAGTTGCTCGCTCCATAGAGAACGATGCGTTGAGCATCAACGGACTGGTATGTTTTCGGACTTATTCTAAAATTCATTACTGTTATTATTTTTATGATTGCTACTGTTACTACTATCATCATTACTATTGTCATAGTACTCATCATCATCATTTTATATGTTATTGTTATCTTAAAATTCACTGTCTCTTGTTTGAAGTAGTCACAATCAGATAAATTCTTGAATCCCTGTGGTCAGCCTGCATTGGATAAGAAATTCCTTTATCCATTGACCTTATTTGTCATTTATCATCAAATCCCGAGAAGTTACGAACGACTTGTTGCAAAAAATTAGTTACGGCATACCGATCAAGCATATTTAGATCAAGCTCCATGCAGAATTATCAGTGTTGAATCAGACAATTGAGAAACGATTTAATCTTCTCGTTCAGGTTGCGCTACTGGAAGTGGAACGTGTAACTGACACGACGACGAATACTGCAAAAGGAGGGAATTGATCGTCCATGCATAGAGCCATAATCCCGAAACATTCTCAACGAATCCAACGTTATCTTCCTTGGTATCGTCTCCAGAACGAACAAAATAACAAACCAAAATTTTATTGTTACTTTATCATGATATCTTCTTATAGACATGATCTATCTTTTGATTGGATGATTATTTATAGTAAGGACTGTGTGGATCAACAAATGCTTCTTATGTAATAGATATACGCGGATGTGTTATTCATTTATTATTCAATCTAATAAATACGATATTATATTAATCAGTGTCTATGAATTGATAATTTTTTCTAAACACTTGATTTAGTGTTATGCTAAACATTTGCTCTTCAATTTTGTGCTTCATTCCTTCGTTTGGTTCAATATTAACGTCGGTTGTCGACTTCTGGATCAGGACTAGAATGCTTCTTGTTGGATGGAGAGTTCAAGATTCGCCCTCATAATAATTGCGAGTTGATGTGAACGATCATTATGATGTTAACAGTGTACAATTGACTCATCATGATTAGGCGACCTGCATGCTGGCAATGAGATCGTATCACTACCGTGGCAGTGTTCTATAATATTAGAATCGGAACGTATGAAGAATTTCGAATTTTGAGCATACACCTTTGGAACGGTTCAGTTTCGCGTACAACTGCAATCATGAATTTAATGGCAATGTTTGGAATTTGGAATCTTTCGTCAAAAATAGGAGCATGTTTGTTGACAAATGATAAATTTCCGTTTGCTGCAATCGGTAAAAACCGATTTAAACAAAGCTTCATGGAACACGGTTATACACTGAGGTATTTCACAGAAATTAACACTGAGGTATACAGTCAGGTATTCTGAGGATCTACCGTTGATCTAGTATGGTGGAATTACGACCTAGCGACGAAATAATAGCATTATCGCTCAGCCATATTGCGTAACTTTAGAAAAGCAGCTAAATTTGCATAAATGGTTGTTAAAACGATACATGTGTAAATAGTGAACATTTTGATGGAATTGGTGATGTGTAAAACTCATAAACTCCTGTCCAAAAGTGATTGCGAGGATAGAATCATGTTGCTCTAGCTCAAGACAAGTTATTTTCAACTAAAAGGTTTCACATGCAAGGATTGAACTAGTTTCCTTACAATTAACTGAATCAACACTATCAAAATAGTCAAATGTTAGCCTTTTTCATATGTAGACAATAGAAACTTCTTGTGAATGTTATTATTGTTCGTAGATGAGCATTAAACTGTCAGTTAATTTGATATTGAATGATTGGTGTTGAATGATTCGCAATAAGGTTGATGTAGAGCATTCAGAGGCAATGCACATCAAGTTACCTATGACATCAAATGCATGGAAACAAGCACTGTCTAAGAGGCATCAACACAGTGGTTGAAACAGTGAGTGTTCACGTGACATCAACACAGCAGTTGAAGCAGTGAGTGACCACGACGCATCACTCTTGATCATTTGCTCTGCTGATTGCAATCGATCGANTTTTTTCTCTTTCGACACGTCAACACTGTCGTTCTCTGACATTTTTCTTCTCGTTTGTATGTTTCAGCGATGAATATATTTTGACACCAATATTCTCTTCAATACAACTGTTTTGATTTCTTTTTCAGTGGTACCATTAATTTATTAATCTGAAAAGTTTAGAGAATTTCCCAATATACATTTGGCACTGGAATGCATGAAGAGTGATTACTTTACCAAGCGATTTTTGAAGAAAGCACAAAGATTCAACGAGTTTTGCAGATTATCAAATATCAGAGGATCACTTATTCGCATTCATTTGAGATACTACTTTTTGACTGCAAATTACTTATTGCTAGCATTCCAAGGACATGCACATGAAGGATTTGAAACAGTTGCCTTTTTGATATAGTATGAATTTGGTTTTATGAGATCTAAGAGTGTTGGCACCAAAATTCATTCTCAAGTTATCATTTCAATAGTTTCATTTTCAACAACTAGTTTTTTCCATTCAGAAAACAATCCGAAACAATTACTAAACAATCACCTGCCAACTGAATTAGAAACATTAACTTATCATCCAGATTTTGTTACTAGGTATTTCCTCATCCATGAGCTAATTCTTATGGAGTGCCATTTCAACTGATTGCAATATTCAGAATCAAGGGTCACCATTTCAAAGCGTTTTGTTGAAATGTTGTTTTCGATACCACAATCGTTTCAATGATTTCATTCCTATCATAATATTTTCATCGTAAGCTCGTAGAAATAGCACCGAAGATATCCAATAAATTTGAAGATACGATCATGACTATGATGAGAAAATCAATGCGTGATCTTAACGAATGGTTTTCTTAACTTCAAAACTAAGCAGATTTGCCTCTCATAGTTTTCATGATTGAAACGATTGTTATTTATTTTCACCTTTGATCACATATACCCATCTTAAGGCTACGTGCGCTATTCGCTCATTAACCTGTTTCGCGTTACAGTGATATGTAATACTATCTTTAATCAGCTTTCCACAATCTGTTGAATTTCAGCTTGGTCGTAATTGATTTCTTAGAGCCAACCACTCTAAAAGCGCTGTTATTCGAAGCGAATTAATCCGTGTTTATCCGGATTAGATTGGTTTATATTATAATAATAGTATGTTTT